TCATCGCCTGCGCAATACAATAATTTTGGTGGTCGCTACCTGTAAGAAACGTTTAGAGAAAAAAACTTTTTTCTTCAAGCCATGGTCCAGTTCTCAAATGTTAACCTGGTTTAGAAGGATGGAAGTATGGTTATGAGCGCTCCATTTTTATGTCCTCCGCGTGCCCTCCCATTCTGAAAAGTTCCCGTGATGCTTAGTTTTGCATTTTTTCGTCTCGCTGAACCAGTTTGGTTGCCATGCAGCCCCCTTCATTCCCTGCAACCTCGTTGCATCAGGGTATCCGGGTTGGAAGAAACCAAAAAACCAAACCAGTAACGTACGAGTTCGCCAAATTAATATGTATGCACCAGAATTTGGGTGCTCGATGCATGTGCGATTTGGTTTAGATAATTAAAGGACGGTCTCATACAGAGTGAGTTGCTGACAAATTAGTACTTGGAGTCGTGTCCATAGTTCTAATAAGTAAATGCTTCTATTATTTCTCCCTGGTGTGCAAATGGTGTATTATTTCTGGAACTGATTTATCCGTAGAACTTTTGATGTGTCAAGGTCCGCATAGTGCAGGGTTTTTCAACCGGATTTTCCCCGTCCAAATCTGCCCAGTTCCGGGCCCTGCCGTAGGAATAACGGGAATGCCAACAGGCGTATCATCAATCGTAGGGTTGATGCGAGCCCTTGTCTTCTGGTGGAAATTTTGCGATCCTTGACATTGTTCTGGCTGAAATAAACGCCGCAATCTTGCAATCGTTATTCATAAAATCACAAAAAAGTCAGTGTAGATGCCTCTGAGACCATTTGTTGTACGAATTGATGAGATAACTCAACTTCACAACGAGATTTAACCTTTGGACCTCTCATTGTAGCTTCTTCATTTAAGGCCGCGCGCTGTAATGTGTTAGGGTATTGTAAATTATTGGTCCTGAGTGCCTCTTACAACCGTATGAATGATGATGTCCGACCTCGCGGTATTCCCGTGCGCCTGAATCTTGCCATCTCGACCTTGTTCTGATGAGGATATTGAGGCTCACGATCGAAGCAGAGAACCTCACATCTGTATGGGTCTTTTGGGCCGACCTCATTTGTTTCCACCAGTTCCTATCTTGGCAATGAGGATTGCTAGGTGTTCGCCTGAACTGTGAGCAGAGTAGTTATTTTGTTTATGTATTTGAAAATAACGGACTAATTTGAGAGAATAAATTTATAGCGCCTGAAAATTCAATCCATCACGGAGACCAATAATTGATATTATTGAATTGTCGTTCTAAGTTGTTTTCCGTGTTGACTTAACAGCGATATAGGAGGTTCACGTAACATATTGCATAATTAAAAAAGTCAAACGAATGAGATCTGTTCCCACTTGTCAATCTTGAACATCTTCATATATCTCCTGTCCTCAGTACTGCGTTTGTGTATGCAAGTGATGCGTGCCTGTAACATTTCTCAAATTGTTATTTATGCAAAATGGCTTGTAAATACACGTCAAGAACTCCTGTAAATTATTTTTTGTTGGAAAAACAATACCATATCGGTTTTGTTTTTCAATTAATCATAATTTGTTGAAGTTAACTGACTTTTAGTGGGAACTAAAAGACATGTTTTATTGGCTTGTGCTTTGGGTACGAAAATCGTAATTTTCATGGTATGTTCTTTTCAAGCAAAATTGTCAGGTGCAATTCGATCGCAAAAATTGACGCTGAATTCAGCGGTCATTCTAAAAAAAAAATCTCCGTTTTTGCAAGTGTGACGGCAAAATTGATCAGAACGAAATTCCGTGCTTCGTCGTGCCATTTATGAACACGTCCAGCTAGGCTGGTCGCAATCAGCGCCTTTACTGAAGAGCCGCCTACCTCGTCACATCCAATTAGTGTATTTGTAAACCGGTTGTTCCGCATTTTCCGGGTTGTTTCCGATAATCAGGGTTATTTCGAAATATTAGTATGGTGTAGGAAGGCACTGTCACGATATTTAGTTTGAATGTGACCTTCACATTAACAATAAGTTAGCTACTTGCCTGCAGCTGTTCATTAATGACTGATGCTCGATCGAAATGCTGCTTGAAGTTTCCCATCTTTTAACACTATTTAAAATTCCGCAATAAAAAATCGTTTTTCGTCCATTTTTCTGACTAAATTCTAACACTATTCTCTCCATTACCTTCGCAGGATTAATAACTTTCCACAAAGGGAGATTTACCATACAGTTTGGGAACGGTTTCGACCGAGAAGAAATTAAAAAAAATCGACAAACTTTTATGTGAATAGGTTGTTCTTTAGCTTCACGGGCCGAAGAGTTGTCCATGAATATTTATATCCCACTGTATATTGAGTTCTAGAGTATATTTCATAGATATATTAGTTTATATTTTCTTCAATGAGCTGCGCGAAAAGGTGCAGTATTGCTCGCTCTAATGCAGTGGTTACCAAAGTGGGCGATATCGCCCCCCTAGGGGCGGTGGAAAGATTTTGGGGGGCGGTAAGGAAGAAGAGGGCGTTTGGGGGGCGATAGGGGGCGGTAGTCCGAAGTCGAAGTTCGAACGTTTGTTTGACGATTTGTACACAACACGTGCAGCACATCATGACTCCCAGCGATGGTTTTTTTCACCCAGATCTGTTTTTTAACCTATCGTGGGTTTATGTCTCGGACAAATTAACGGCCGGACTCGCGGCCGGTCTCACGGCCAATTTCCAATTCAATGTTCAAGTAATATCTCTCAAACTAATGACCTTAACTCGATGAAACTTGGTACACGACACGAATTCATTAGGACCTAACGGTAATGTTAAGCTCGTGAATTTTTTTTTCAAATTTTGCCTTCATTTGTTTTTGCCATAGTTATATGGCAATGCGGGCCGAAATTCACAGTACCGGGTAATCAAGAAAATTTTCCAAACTATTGAGCAGATTCGAACGAAATTTTGAATTTACAGTCCTAACTACCTAATGTTAATGTTTAGCTCATGAAAATTTATTCGATTGTGCCTTTGTTCGCGAGTTTTTTTCCATTTCACCTTCATTCGTGATTTAAACAGCAGTACGTGCTTAAATTCAAAGTAATCAAGAAATTACTTCCAAAACTACTGAATGGATTTGAACGAAACTTAATATTTAAATACCTAACCTCATGGAAACGATGATGTTTAGCTCGCTACAATTTTTTCGTTCCTCCTATATCTGTATAACTCGCGAACGAAAGCAAAATAGAAAAGTTGTCGCGAGCTAAACATCACCGTTGAGAGGTTAAGTATTTATATTCAAAGTTTTGTTGAAATCTGTTCAGTAGTTTAGAAGAAATTTGGTGATCGCCGCGAATTTAAGCGACAAATTATCCGGCGATACGGGCCGAATATAAGGAAGTGTGAAATCAAGAATGACTGTGAAATGAAAAAAAAAAACTCGCAAACGAAGGTAAAATTGAAAATGTTTACGAGCCAACAAAATCAACACTTGGTAGTTAGGAATGCATATTCAAAATTTCGTTCAAATCTGTTCAGTAGTTTGGAAGAAATTCTTTGTTCGCTGCGAATTGCGGCCTTTATCGCAATATAACTCACGAATGAAGGTGAAATTTAAAAATTTTTACGAGCTAAAAATCAATGTTAGGCTCTGATGAATATATGTTCCAAGTTTCCTTGAGCTGCGTTCATTAGTTTGGGAGATATTACTTGATAATTGAATTTGGAGATTGGTCGTGCGCGACTGGCCACGAGTCCGGCCGTGAATTTGCCCGAGACGTCCTAGGTTTCTAGTGCTTGAACAGTTAAAACTGCTTAGAAACATATTGGTTCACTAAATGGGGTTCTATTTGTGAAATATACATTTGTGTTTAATATTTATCTATTAAATTGCAGCGTACTGAATTTCAAGAAAGAGGCATATGTTCTTATATGTGTCTGTAAGGGGCGCTAGAAGTTCACTAGGGAGCAAAAGGGGGCGCCAGCCTGAAAAAGTTTGGGAACCACTGCTCAAATGTATAGCTGGAAAACCTATTTAGAAAGCTGTGCATTTTGTTAGGACCTCTTCATCCGTATCGGTGATTTAAAGTCACTTCTCAGAAGCGAACTTTTCCTGAACTATTTCTCAAATTCTCTTTTATGAAGTGCCTAATTTAACCGGACCTATCGTTCCAATGAATCTCATTTGCAGGAACAATTTAATGCAAACCCGCTGCCAGTTTCTCCCTACCATCACAAATCAAAATTCGGCTCCCAATTTCTGTTTGAACTATTATACTAAATATTCTCGAAGTTGAGAATTTGCAGTCGTCAAACATCACGCCCGTCTTGATCAAACCGTCGTTGATCAAACCGTCGATTTTCTGCGTATGTTGTTTGGTCGAGATGCTCATTTGCAGCGCACCTGCTGCGCGCTCTCTCACGCTCATGCATGCTTGAGCGGCCACGCTCGGCGCCGGCGTATCCACCGAATTCCGCCCTCATTCTGTATCTATTAACTTGACTAAACCCAGGTCATCCACGCAAAAGCAGAGTTTTGCGTTGTATAAAAAGCATCAGATTGTGTAGGTGATTGTAAAAATTAAAGTTTGAAAGTATTGTATACTATCTAACGAGAGATTAATGTATAATCATCTCTTATTCGCTGAGAATTTATTTTTTGATCGCGATCATTGGATAATGTCGTGAAAAAAGCCTCTTGCTCGACAGAGATTAAAAAGCTAACTAGCTTGGAACGTTGTCAAGTCGTTGTACCTTCTGTTTATTATAACCTTCTGTTTGGAAATACACTATACAATTATAAAATTCAAAAGTATCATGTAGTCATTGTTCGTTGAATACAAATGAACGAATCTTCTTTTACCGTAAGCTCGTGGGTTGTGTAATGGATCGTTTTAGGGTAATGTCTTCTTTTTTTTTATTGAAGTGTGCAATTTTTCTCGGCACTAAGATAAACAAATTATGTGCCGTAACCTTATAAGTCCTTTCTCGATAAATGATTTTTATGGTAAAACCTTTCTTTTATTGACGTGTGCATTTTGCCCGCAGTGGACATGTCGCCCGCTGAGCTGAAGAAATACCGCGCCAGGCAGCGCAAGAACAGGAAAGCCGAGGAGCGCAAGCAGGAAGAGAAGCGGAAAGAAGAAAAGAAAGCAGAACAGAAGAAGAAGCAGTCGGGGCAGGCGAGTCTAACAATCATATCGGAATGCTTATTCATTTAAAAAAAATTCCTCTTCAATTTCGTTGGCAGAACCGAAAATGTGTCCAAAATTGTAGAAGCTCTTTCAGAATATATTCAATATCCCAAAGGAGACTGGGAATTTTTGAAAGTGTATGTCTCGAGCGATACATTGCATCGGAATCAATTCATAATTGCTTAGTAAAGATGCAAGTAATATGTATACTGGTGAGATTTTGTTTCATAATTACCCTTGTTCAACGTTCATCATGAAAATCCTTCCTACTTGAGTTCTAGCAGCTCCTAATGTGTTCCAGGATGACCTGGAGAACCCTCCTCAGGAGGAACTCATTCCCCACAAGCTGGAGCGTCCCGCGGACCCTATCAACGAGGCGCTCAACTTCTTACGGCCCCTGCAGGCCCTCCTGCCGCAGCGCCTGCACACGCACCTGCTCGCCTTCAGCATACACCTGCGGCGGAACAAACCGCTTCTCATGCTTCAAGTAGGGCTTCTGAACATTAATTTTTTTTTATCGAAAGGATATTTTTTTAAAGTTTAATATTCCGAGATAGAGGTAATTTCGTCGGATCATTGTATGCAATGGCTTAGTTGTATTATTGTCTTTGTCTTGAATACCTAATAGGTTCTGATTTGAAGAACCTTCGATCCCAGGGGCCTCATTCCGCGCTCGGACCATGTTCGCACTACATTGTATGATTTTAGGCTGGAGAAACATATGTGTGTGCTTTGCAATATTTGGATTTTGTGTACTTGTGTAATTGGAATTAACTTCCTTATTGCAGTCACTGAAACGAGCATGGTCAGTGGACCGCGATCACCCCGAGCTGCACACGAGCTTCGTTCAGTTCCTGAAGTACTGCAAAGATTCTCTGCCAAGAAAGTATCAAGCCCCTGTCGTAACGCCCGCCGAGTCTGCCACGCCTGTGCCTCTACCGAGCAACGAACAAGGATCCAACAAACCTAACCCGACTAACCACCATCATCCAAGTAACAAGCACATAAAGAATTCTAAGGATAATAAAAACAACAACAAAGACAAGAATCAGCGCAAGAACCATCATCACAATCACCAGAACAACATTGCGTCCAACAACACCGAGAATTGTAAAACTGATACCAATGCGAGTACAGAAATCATTGCTCCGACCAAACCCAGCATTAACCTAGAAGAAGAAGAGGCCAATTTTGACGCCCAGGAGGCGGTTGTGGTCGCCATCATTCACGAGGTGATGACCAGTCTGGTGGGGACCGTTGACCCCGTCAAACTCAATGAAGATTTCCTCAACAAGAACAACGAATCTTTACCGCACCGGTTACAGGGTGAGTCAGGAACGCCGCTAGCTTGAAATAGCGTGTAATTGGTGATTTAGCGTTAGTAGAAGAATACAACGATGATGTGAAAACTTGACACTTACCCTGCCATTTTACGCATTAGTAAAGTACTATTGGTGAATTTTTATTAATCATGATTGATTTGTTGTAAAATAATGTTTAATTAAATTTTGCAAATGAAGTTATGTCGTATGATGTACCATAATATCGTTTATGCTTGCAGCTGCCCGTTCGATGATGTTCTTGGACAGCGTTCAGAAACAACGAGCTATTGGCATCGCCACCGAGATCGGTGATCATATTAAAGGCCGAAACTTGGAAGTAAGTTTACCTGCTAATCTGATGTAAAAATACACTGACAAATCCAGTCAGCTTGTTTCTCTTAAGACTAGCTTGATTATTTATATCTTGATAGAAAAGTTATTTGGACATATAGGCCATTAATCCTATTTACTTTCTAGAATCTTCAAACCGTTTTGGAGTGGCTGGAAGGATTAGAATGCGAAGCCTCCCCTGAAGAAATCCTTCGCTTCAAGTCGCAAAGTCAAAAGCTGTTTCCGCGCGCCCAGATTTTCATGTCAGAGCTGCCGCAGAGCCACACGACCACTGTAACGACCACGACCGCTGACGGCGCGGCTGCTCTCGCCACCACGACGGCCGTTAGCGGCGTCATCACCAGCGTTGCTCCGTCAATTACTGACGACGAGATCACCGCTAACTGTCAGCAGTACGATGAGGTCATTGTCAACCATGTCAATCACGTTGATGGGTAATATCATCGTGTCGTTTAAAGGGCCACTCATTCACGGCTAAGTGGTAATCGCTTATCTGGTGTTTCACGTAGTTTCTTGAATTTGGTTGCGAACATAATATGGAGAGGTGGGAGGAAATGAGTGAATTTTAAGAATAAAATCCAGCATCATCGCTTAGGGTTCCCGGCGGTGCAATAAAATCATACGATTCATTTGTGATGTTGATACCAGCGTGATGTGATGCCACTTGCTTCCCGCCATTGGAACAGCTGTCAACTGATGCCTTCCTTTGTGGTAGTGAGAGATCGTTTTCATAATTAGTCTCAATTCAATTATGCTTAAGCAGAAATATTTGTATAATGATTCCGACACCTAATGGCTATCACTACTTGTACATATGACTTAGTTTCCAGTCTACGTTTCGAAATCTGCCTCTAAGGAAAACTTTTTTATGGCCCTTTGCTTCAATGAATGGGCGTGCCCACTGTGCTCAATAGTTTTTTTTTTATCAACTGCTTCTGTTATTGCTTTTGCATACATCATTCCTTCTTCCGTGAACCAGAGGTTACAAGCTTAAAATAATAATGCTCTAATTTTTGGGGTTTTTAAGCTGACAAAAAAGAAACGATAATAAAAAAACTCACAGAGCATTTGTCTAGCCGCTAGCGAATCTTTGTGTTGGCAACGTGTCCAGAGAAGCGGCAAAATTATTTTGCGTGTCCCTCTACCTTCGTCCTCGACCATGATTCGAAATTTATAGTTTAATTCCGATATTTCTCCAGACTGTTCATAGAGAGCGCATCGACAGTCACATTGTATGCATACCTAAATTGTTGATCGAACATTAAATAATGTGCTCGTTGTAACCACGATACCGATTCTGTAATACCAGACTTTTAAAGAGGGTAGGGTTAACTTGATCCGTGTGATAGTTGCATTAGGGAGCGTGCGTTCCTGAGTTTGGCGAGCCTCTCTTCACCTTTTCTTTTACGCTTGTCCAAGATATCTTGTAATGTTAGTCATTTCCAGAGACTCTTGGCTATGATTGTTTTGTTTTCTAGGTTCCGTACCAGCCATGATATCTCTGAATGATATTTATTGAGTTATCAAGCTTCATTTCTCACTCAATAAAGCTTGTAAGTACTCAACCTTTTCATCGAATATCCTAACCTATGTTCTGGTATTTTCATCGACAAAACTGGGCTGCAAGATGTTATGAAATATAGGGCTCACAAAATTGCGTCGTCAAACGTCTCGCATCGAATTTCAGATTTTGTTGAATTCGGGCCATTTAGGTCTAGTATCTTTGCGCTTGCACAACCGTTAATATGTTTAATGTATATGGCTGCGAAAATTTAGAGACTTTGAATGATTAAATTAAATTGTCAATAATGTTTGAGTAAGGTAAAGCAGCGTTAAATAATAATTTATTAATACGAATCTTTACATACGTCATGTAAAGTTATATCCTAACAGAGGCGAACAATTCAAATGAAAGTTCATATTTAAAAAAAATTACATTAAAGTTTATAAGTTAATATCACCGACTTCATAGTCACGTAAAAACATAGGGATAAAAATGATTTATTTTTTGCTTGCAGAGAACGTAAACACATTATGACATAATAATATCCAATCTATGTTTATGTTGGCTAATTTTAAGATCCAGATATGGTGAAAACGCAACTAATCATGCTGCGAGGTATGTAGTCTTAATTAGACACAAACTTTAAGGATTACAGAGCATGCACGTTCTTGATCGAGCGTGCAAGTTTTGATATTAGTACCGGAACGAGATGAGTCATTTTAATTTACCCGTCATTTGCGATTCGTAAACAAGGTAGCCAGGTTTTGTGGCACTATTGCAACGTTATCTCATTTGTAAACCTACCTTATAAAGCAAGCCCTACATAAATATCAGTAAATGTGATTAAAAAAAATACAATAAATGATAATTCAAGCATGTGATCAACAAAATGATTCATCTACGTTTGTGCACAAAAATGGGAGCTAAAATTGCATTGACGGGACAACAAAAAACATTTCAGTGTCCACTGAAGGTATTTGTACCAGGCAACAAAGTCGTGCGCGCGTTTCCAGTTCCACTAAAATATGGCGGATAATCAGCCTTCAACTCGTGGTTGTGGATATCATGACCCACAGCAATGAAGCTGTAAGCTCGAGACACTTCCGGGTTATTCTTGGCATGTAACATAGGTACAAGGTGGCACGTAGCCGAATTTTCACGCAAACATCAAATTTCATACAATAAAAAGTTTTAAACTTCAATCCTAATGCTGTCGAGGGAGGACGGTTCATGTTGGATCTCCACATATCATCTAACTCCAAGTTTGACACAACACTGCGTGGTAAAAACTCAACACTCTCTTACAACAAATTTGTAAAAAAAAATCAGAAATTTTCTTTACCTTACAAGGCTCCTGAATTGTTTGAGAACTAACGATATGTTAACAAGCATATATGTTAACATATAAAACGTGACTAAATGCTAGACCTGTGTCTCATAACTCGTGCATTGCTAGACATATTACATTGACTCCGCATTACAAACAATATTTCACTCATAAACTGTCAAACAAAATGTTCTGTCACTTCCAACAGCATCGTCTCAAATACATGGTCACATTTCCCAGTTTCTCTGGAAATGATATATTTCTCAAACATCTCGCTCAGCGAAAATTAAATCTTTCCACAGATGGAAAAAAATCGTACACACAACCTATACAAGCCGTCGAAAGTTGCAAGGTATTGTTCGCCAATAAAGTACGGTACATACAGAAGGCGTCATCGGTTAAATAGCTACGGGAGAAAAATCACAATTAAAAAAAGATTTGCAAATGTTCAAAATAAATAAAAAGAGAGAATGCAGGGAAATAATTGTCTCACTTTTCAGTGCGAGGGCATTTTTCAAATTCGAAACGAGTTCCATCTTTAAGCTGCACGCCCGCATTGTCGGGGCACTGTTCAGTGAGTGGTGGCGATGGCAACCGCAACAGCTGGTCAACGTCAAGATGACAGGCGAACTGCAAAAAAATCAAGACTTTGAAACCCATGCCTCACGTGCACGCTCAACAATAGTATCAAAAGTGTTCATTTTCACTCGGCAAGAGCTTCAAACTGTGGGTCTCAAACTTAGTGAAAATGACCTCAGAATTACATATATTAAATCTTGAGCTAATAATGGAGAGTGCAACTATTTCTGATGTTTTAATTCAGCCATATTCATCAATACTATTATGATATATACCTGTGTAATGATAACATGGATACAGTCCCATGATAAATTTGATACCAAGATGAAAAAGTTTCAGAACCACTGATTCTAAAGAAGCACAGCAGCAGCAGCTCACCTGAGTTCCTCCCCCTGCGGCCACCAGGCAGTGCACAGCGTGGCTGTAGAGCCGGTGCCTGGCGCTCTCGGCACAGGACGCCGCGCGCTTCAGCAGCGTCACAGCCAACACTGAAGTTCGCGATGAGGCAGCTTGCGATGAACAAACGGATTCCAGCTCACTAATATCTTCACTCGAAAAGTTCTGCCAGCACAACTCTGATCAATTAAAAACTAGGTATTAATGACAATATTGCAAATCGAAAAGAATCAGAGACTCATTATATTCATTGACACTGAAACAAGGATCAGGTCATCTCATTCTGAAATGCAGAAGACTTGAAACCGTGGCATGCGTGTTTGACCGTTTGATTACGACCACAGCATTCGGTATAGCCATATACCGAATGCAGGCTATTTATGGTATATGGCTATACCAAATATTCGGTATATAGCCACTCGTATAACAGCCTAGTCATAAGAAATGCGCGAATCAACGTTCACGCAAGGGAAGCTAAAGCTCAATATTTCAACAGGCAACAGCTGTATTTCAACAGCGTGCAGTCAACTGTAGGTATTCGCAATCTTCTATTGTCAATAAGAAACTAATAAAAAATAAATAAATCCAATTTTGTACCAAAATCCTTTTTCTTGGGTAAATATAACAATAAACTTACCGAGTGTAACAAGCAATCTTCTCATCAATAACTTGAAAAAAATATATATATATACAAAGATACAATTTAAACAGTAATATTGTAAAAAATTCGACAAATAAATAAGTACCCAGACCCAACTGAAAGTTTTGTATGGCTCTATTCACTATAAGCTACGCCACAACAAACGCGAGGCGTCATTAGGCTAGTAACCGACCTTCATTTCCAGATGTCTCAGTTCGTTCACCGAACTGGCCAAGCAAGGAGAGGGTCGAGAGGAATCCGTCATACTCGATCAGTTCATTCCAAAGTTTGTTTCCTTTAGGTAAACATAAGTAAAAGTTGAAAAGATTTCCTGAAAGGGAGCGCAGTACTCGGCGAGCCCGACCTCTGACACGTTCCAGTTCATTCTTGTAATCTTCATTGGGTGATTTAATCATACCCTGATCAGACATTCCTGCATTCAATTTTATTGTTTATTTTATCAAATAAAAAGTAGCAAAACAGCCGACGGATTTCAAATATTTTTATCATGAAAATTGCAAGTAAGCAAATTGGTACAGTACGTGTGAGCATTTTTGTACTTGCAGTAACATAAGAACACAACTAGAATTTACCATAAACCATCTCAAAATTCCATACACAGTTTTTTCTTTTATATAATACATGAAGATCGTTAGTATAATAGATTCTGTATTATTCAGACCACTGTTTAAAAATGCAAAAAAAAACTGAATTTGATTTAATTAAATTAATGTGAACAATAAATCTCACCTTTACTCTCAATACACGTGGGAGGTACAACTGATTTTGCTGTGAAGTTGACGAGCTACAAAGAACAGTCAGAAACTTAGCACTCCATTTAAGACGTGCAGCTAAGAATGCTTCCATCTGAGTGATAGAAGCTCTCTTCAGGAAGACTTGGATGGGGTCAAAACAACCATCTACATCAGGGGAGAGCAAACCTTCAATTGCTCCCTCAGGGGCCAGAGGCGCCAGCCTAGCTCGATAACAGTTCAGATGCTTCAGGATCAAGTCACCAAACTCAGCAGCTAGCACGTGAGCTGACAAGTAAATAAATTCCTGAAAAATATTTAAAATGTCAACTTACAAGTCAGAGGTGAAGCATTTATCCTGGCTGTTAAGTTTATGATCACCTGAATCGAGATAATCTTAAATTTGGCTCAACTACTAAAGTAAATTTTATCACCAGGCTCAACATATTTTCCACAAAAAATTATACCTCTGAATATCATTTGTAAAGAATCTAAAAAAGTTATTTGGGATAAATTGTAAGTAATGCAACATCAGTTCCTGGAGGATATCATGAGTACACTATTCAATGTAAAATAAAGAATTTTTTTTCAAAGGCTTAAAATGGTTAACAATGAAATCTCGATGATACAGTTTATTGAATACATGAACTCAGTGTGATGAGTGACACAAGAGTGTCACTCATCACTCAGTGTCCCCACAAGAAACAGAGTTACATGCAGTATTATGTATAACCCATTGGTTTATAGTAGAAATGAAACAAATATAAAAGACTGATGCATTAACAGAACAAAAGACTGACTTTCTACATACAAAAATTTAACACTTCATAGAAGAAATATTTGGAAAATCGGTAAATAACAGATATCATCACTAGTACTCAATATCATTAGATAGTATCATTAGTTGGCAACAAACACCTTAGGGTTGTGAACATTGTGCTGGAATCCTCGTAGTCTTGACAAGATATCATCTCGAGCTTGGATTCGAGAAGAAAGATGGTTTCTGGCAGAGGAACGAGTTCTTGACAGAACTGATGCAGTGGAGATAACTGACACATCACTCAAGGAAGGCATCATGGCAATGCTGACATTTACAAAGTCAATCTTTGGAGACCAAGAGCCTTTGTAAATGGGCTATACAAAATTTGAAAACTCCATACAAAACACTCTAAACTTGTCTAATTATTATCATCCATAAGTTGATTCCATAACTAGGATTATGATATTACTGTTTCAAAAATTAAAAAATTAGAGACATTTATATCATAGTCACTCTGTAGGAACAGAGAGATCGCTTTTTGCACAATTTCAACAAAAGAACAAATTATTGAAAAGAAGCACATTTCTACCATCCTTTATGACTAAGACCTTATCAACAATGGTAATGATTTGTGAATACACCATTCCATCCAGCCAACAATAATCATGGAACTATTATTCATATTCTTTATCTCTTTGTAAATGAACATTAATTTGGAAAAAAAGCAACACTTTCAAATTATCATAAGTTTATACAAGTAATGTGGCCCTAGTTTGCCTTTGAGAGCAACATACACTCAGAAGAATGATAAAAGGAAGAAAATGAACCAATTTGAAAAAGACCACAGGAAATAGTTTATTTTTATATTCTGGAATGCATGACAGAGAATCACCATTGAAAACTTACAACATTATCATTATCATCAATACTGTACTGAGGACATGTAAAAAAATTGTAACATCAGTCAAGGTATCATCTCAATTATATTACCATGAACAAGCACCAAGTTTGACAAATTCAATTGAATGGACACCCATTGCCAGTTTTATATGCCTTTCCCTACATACAAAAATATTTTTTGTACATTGCTACAATCTTTCCGTTAGGTTTGTGCACAATAATTGTGAAATTGCACAAAATTATATTCTAGAATATAGCTTTACAAGCTAACAGAGCGGTAGAAATTGGTGATTAAACTGAAAATACACTAAAAGCAGCCATGTATAGTAGTTGAACCACAGCTCCTTAATGATTTTTATCTTCTATGGATGAGCGGATGGAGCTGATCTCCAATACTCTTGACCACCATTCATTGATGTCATAAACACGCCCTAGGCAAACATGTCAAGGAAAATTAACAGACTTTTAAAACATAACAAGAGAACTAGGAAGGGAAAAGAAAGCTGTAGAAGAACCAGTATTATGAATTCTATTCTCAATATCAGTGAACGGCATCATTCAGCAGCTGGAATTCTGCAACTATCTTCTGAAGTCTGTAATTATCATGGGTATCTACAAAGCATTAACCCTTTTGTGGTCTGACAAGTAATAAGCAGAAATTTCTACTTTCTGAGGATTGTAAAAAAATATAACTTAGTACTCAGTGAGTGACAGAGAGTGCATTTTCTTGTCGACGAAAATGTGAAGTCACGGACAGACAGACAGACAGACACACAGATGAACAGACAGACATGGCGAGCACAATAGCACCTTTTTTTCCATAAATGAGAAAATGCAGTTAAAATGACTGTTGATTCTAAGATATAGGTATGTGTGAGCATTTTTCAAAATTTTGAACACTGAAGGCGCAAATTTCACTTGAAGAATTAAATCTAATTACTATGGTAAGTGCATTTGATATTATTGAATACTTAACATGCAATTATAATGTAAAGCAATTTAAATAAAATATACATAATATCAGGATACTAACACAATTATCATTCCATTTTAAAAATCAATCAGTAGTTTTGGAGCGCAGCAGTAAAGGATACGCATCTGATTGATGATAATCTGAGGTTTTTCCTTGAAGAACGAAGTTCTTCCTCTAATATGTAAGCAATCACCTAAGTCAGGAACATTATCTCTGGTAGATAAGGAGTCCCGATACACCTGCTGAATTTCTTCTGGAACATTTTTTAAATCCCAATCACTGATGCCTTGCCGGTCTGACTGGAATTGGATACATGGCAAAATGCCTGTTCCATCATCAACTGAAACATGTGAATGAAAATTTTATTTTAATAACAATTTACAAGAGATATTACTAATGGAGAATATTTTTGATATGGGCAACTATTACAGCTCAACTGAATTACTCAAGATAAGACTAATGATATGCAGTAATTCATTATTAGTCTAATTATTCAGACAGATGGAATTTAATACCAAATATCTTACGATGTAGAATGAAGGCCTTATCCTGGATGTTGCGATAAACAACTGTGCCAAGCAGATCAATTTTGGAAACTTCTGTTTTTCCTTCAAGTAGTAAACATACTTTCTTTTCTTCATCAAAATGTAGTTCATTTATGAACACTTGTGCATGAAATTTACCCATCATTGCAAATCCATGTTTCTGCAAAATTCATTTTAATAACATTATAAATCAATTTAATAATGCTGTTAAACAATTAAATTGCAAATTTACCCAAAATGTGTTATCACTGTTATGTATGGGAAATTTTAGAAAAAAAAAATTATTTTTTTAATCTACTAAATGGGGTAGGTATTAAGGGATGGTTTTGAGTGTTTTTTGTTAATAACTTTTTACCATGAAACATTTCATAAACAAGTTTAGGCTCATTTTATAGTTCTTTGCAATGGCTATTGTATGTATGGTATCTTCAAAAAATTCTCATATGATATTTGTAAGGTGCCAGATGCAAAATAAAAGTGTATCAAATTACCCATGGGAACAGGGTAATCAGGGACAGTGGACACTTGAAATAAAACTTAATTTTAAATGTTTGAAGCATGCAGAGTGTACTTTTCTATTACTAACAGTAATTTGAAGTCCTCCTTTTCCTTTGTACCTATGTGATGTGGATGTAAAATAAATGACATTTTATGTGATTTTTACTAGTTTTTCCTTTATTGATATGATATTGCCAATTACCATATCCATCATCCATGAAAATGCCATTGAGCATTTACAACTACCTTGTCCACTGCAAGCTTCATGTTAGCAGCCATTTAGCACTTTTCTGTATGGGAGCGCTGCCGTAGCCCAAAAATTTGACTCAGCCCAAGAGCCAATGCCAACCCTCTACATGCAATAGAAATAGCCAGCCTAACACCTATGCAGCTGTTCTTACTTGCCTCATCTTGCCACACCAGCTTGAAACAAGCAATGCCTCAGCTCAGAAGCTGATACTCCAAACAGATTATGCCCAATATCTCATACACTAATGATTTGAGCCCATACCATCAGTCCATCACTTCTTACAAATGCCGTAAGCCACAGGGTCTGCAGACCACACTAGACTGCCATAAATGGGAATGGCCCCGCTCCGGACTGTCGCATCACTTTACCAACTTTGCAGGCGTAAGCCCAGCCTTGACGTTCACCAGCATCTTCTTCCTCCACACTTACCCCCTTCTCTCCACCTTTCCGCAAAAGGGTTACATTAGGTGTAAGATTAGGTTAGAATTCTTCAGCAAGCTGGTACCAAAAGGAGGGGGAGCAGCAAGCAGGGGGTAAGTGTGGAGGTTTAGCCTCCAGAAGAATGGACAGGCAGAGGAATAGCCTTTAGAAGAACAGACAGGCTTGGAGAGGTAGCAGTGTTAGTGTACTGATAGCTCTGTGGTGCAGGTCGTTCTTCATCAAAAGTGGTAAAGGGGCTAGGCTGCATGGAATAGAAATATTTTGGGGTTTAGCTTGTAGGTTAGCCTACGACCATTGTTATGCGGCTTGCAGCTCATTGGCTCACTGGTTTACATCCATGAAGGGATTTAGTTCCTGTGGCTTTCAGCAAGTAATCATGTTGGCAAATTTGCTCTGCAGCATGCTTGCGCACGGGGTGAAGTATGAAAATTATGCTGGTATTGGGCAATGCTGGGCTATTTCAGTCGTCACTACTGTATCTGTAAGCTTACAGGAAGGCTTGTAATTTCACACCATTTTGATAGGGTCAAGTGAATTCACTATAACGAAAAAAAAATTTGTAAAAACAGACCTAAATCAGAAAGGAATATTCTAGTAATAACCATCATATTTTTTGGAGGAATAAATCCTAGTTTAGGTTAATTACTTTCCATTATACCTATGTTGCCTGCAATGCCTGGTGCACAATTATAGTACCTATGACATTCTATGCACAATTTTGTGATTACCAATGATGCATTAATTTTTTTTAAACTCGATTTGATTGATGCCAGGTTGAAGGTGAAGAAGTCGTGCGCAGACCGCCTGTAACCCCTGGGCTCAGCAATTATTGTTTAATTTAATGCAAGTCTTCATCCTCTCCTCTCAGCACTCCTTCCTCTCTAGTCTCTCAGCTGGTACTTGTTTTCCAGGTTGTCAGCAGTCTCATGATGTGTAGCAAATTTTCATTAGATCCAGTGCTCTACACTAGTTGTAAGGTAGCTAGTCGAAGCTAGACAACCAGTTTGTGTGAGATACGTAGCAGTTGCTTGCACTATAGAGTGCTGAACTCTTCTGGGGTAATTGCCTCCTCCAAGAAGCACACGCAGTCACGCACAGAGATGAGAGAGACTCCCAGGGCATTTTTTTTATTTAATTTAATTATTAGGCTTCGGGCATGTAGAAAACACACCTCCCAGCCTGAGCACCAATTGAATTTTGATTTGAGTCACTTCACACTAGACTTATTTTCTATTCTTGCCTCTTTGCGTTTGAATGCATCACTTCCACATGTTTCACCAGCCAATGTGGCAGTAGGTACATTGTTGAAAGAAGAGTAAAATTGGTTTCAGATGAACATTCACAACCTGGCCACCTTATTGCAGTTCAGCAAGTAACGACCAAGATGTTGAATGACAGTAGTGAGGCTCCTCGCTGGGACCTCCCCACCGCCAAGAGCCATGGTAAGATCCCAGGGAAGAGTCAGGCCTTCCAGTCTTGTGCGGAAATCCCTTCTTTGTTTGGTGAATAGTGTACAATGTAGTATAAAATGGCTGACTGTGCCCTCAATGCCACATGCTGAGCAGTTACTTGAATCTGCCATGTTGAATCTGGCCAAGTGAGCATTTACACCAGTGTGCCCCATGCGAAGGCGTGACACAGTGCATTCAACTGAGAGTGGCGGCATTCCATAGTCCACATAGGTAATAGCTGGCCCTAAGCTCCATCGAAAGATCCCCTTGCCTGTTCCCTGCACCTCTGCTGACCATTGGTGTGCCCATTCCTGGTTGATGAGGGTTTTTATGGTACAGGTCCACTCCTCAAAGCACACTTGAGACCTTGCTGTACGATTATTTGAATGTGCCAGATTGGCTACTTTGTCTGCAACCTCATTCCCATGGATACCACTGTGACCCCGTATCCAACAGAGCACCACCTTGTCAAGTCCTTTGATCAGCATCAACTTGTGGATCTTGAACACAACTGTGCGATGGGAGCATCCAGATGTAGAGGTTAGAATATGCAGGGCAGTCCTTGAATCCATCAAAATTAAAACAGGCTCTTCCTTCAGAAGTGTATCTTGAATGGCCAGCTGCATGGGCTTGAGTATGGCAAACAGTTCAGCGCCAAGCACTGTGTGCACTCGTCGGAGCAACCAGCCAGTTGCCAACTGAGTTGATGGTACAAAGAATCCAGCAGCAACTGACCCATCAACAGACTTTGAGCCGTCTGTGTAAATTTGGAGGTGTTTTGGGTAGCGCTTCCTCCAAAAGTCCATGAAGCAGTTCTGAATGGATTGATCTGGCATGTTATTTAAGAAATTGTCCTTGACATTGAGAAGAATACTTGAGGCAAGATCTACTTGAGGTGGGATTGGGCTTAAGGGGACCTGCTACCCAACATCTTCAATTGTGGCGTTTTTGTGTTTTTGTGCTCATCTGAAAGCTGGAATTCTGCTCTTTCCAATGGTACCACTGCCATTGCTGTACGTCAATATTTACGTTAATGACGTCTCTTTAAAGGGAAGCGGGTGGGAGAGTTCTTCAAGTAATTAGCTGCTGAAATCTTTGAATATAGTTTCTACTTGAGTTATGCTGCAGTTACATGCTTAGTCTCATCTTAAAGCTGACAATCTGAGCTTTTCAACGATACTACTGCCATCTATGTACGGCAATATTGACACAGATGGCCCGCCTTTATTTGGGGGCGGGGGGTGGAGTTCCTTCAGTAAATAGACCAGAGAAAATTACAGCGGCAAGACTACATATCTTGGTGTATCTGGCATCTGAGCTCAGTTACCTTCCTAACATTGTAGGTGGAGGTGCGCTACAAGTTGCTGCTTGCATCCTTGAGTGGACTAAGCTACAGAAGCCTGTAGTTTGGTATCCATGCTACATTGAGTGCCTATTTTGAAGCGCGCGAGACTTTGTCGCGCCGTCCTGAAAAGTTCAACTTATGCAACTTATTGTCACGGAAAACCTATCTCCTCCTACAGTTTTCAAGCTACAGCAATGAGAGTTATATCATTCGATTCGTAAAGACCATATCTATCGACCTAGCCATCGCTTTTTTTTAATTTGTGCATGGTTCGTCTTATATATGGGGGAGAAGGGGGGGAGGGGGTGAAAAATGGGAAAAAAATGGGGAAAAATGGGAAAAACGCGCATAAAAAAAACTATGAGGAAAATGAAAAAAGTGATGGTAGAGTTGATAGGTATGGTCTTTATGAATCTAATGATATGTGTCTCGATATTGTGGGACGATATTTGTGGTAGGAGATGGATTTTCTATAGTACCCCTTATTTGTCTGTTTTCTATGAATATCACGTTTTCTATCAATTTTTTTGAAAAATTCATAGAAGTAAAATGTTATTATTTTTACATTTTACGTATGAATGTGAAGTTTCATGATGATCGGATAATAACTGTAGGAGTTATAGGCTACCTCGATTTAGGGTAGCAGGTCCCCTTAACATGGGCGAAGCAGCACGTCGAGGGAGAGTAATACCCAGCTTGTGGAAGCTTTCACGGGCTCTGATGACAAAAGGTGTGTTGATGTAGGTTCCCTGGTCAGTGAATCCCAAAATGTTTAGTACAGAGTCACCTGCAGGCATGTACAGATATCTGATGACCCATTTTATGAAAAGGTACAGGAAACGAAGTTCCAGGGGTGCAACAAAGCTTTCAACTTGTAGAGAAACTATTGGAGTGGTACGGCGGGCTCCTTGGATGTATCGAAGAGAAGAGTTTTGCATAGTTTCAAGTGCCTTCATCAAAGACTTGGAGATATCCCAGAAAATTGTGGAGCCATACTCCATCTTGCTTCTGATAAAGGCGACATAAATTCTGCGCAACAATTGTCGAGATGCACCCCACTTCACAGAGCCGAGCGCTCAAAGCACCTGCACTTGTTTCAAACAGGCAGTGCAAGTTACCCTGATGTGCTCCCGGAATGTAAGGTGTGGAGAATCAAAATAGACTCCCAGCACCTTTTGATTAGTATAGAAATT